AGCATTTTTTTAATCATCATTTACTCACAATCAATTTCTTATCCCGTAAGGTGATTTTAATAGCTTAGCCCCCATATCATAAAATTATTATATTTTATAAAAAAAAGTATCAAATAAAAGTATTTAAAAGTTATTAATTTGTTTTATTATAATTAATTTTTTCTTTTTGAATTTTATTATATTTTTAAGATTATATAAAATAATAATTTTATTTATGTAATTTTATAGAATTTTTAATATCAGATATTAATTATGCATATTACTATTAAAAATTGTCTGTGTAGAGCTTATATTAAAAATTTTTTGATCACTTTATCTATATATATATATTCTAGATCCTATTTTAGTATTAATAAAGAAATTAACTAAAATTTATATTTTGTTTTTTTATATCTTTATATAGTCTAATATAATCTTTATATATTATTTGTAATTGAGTTCATTATCTGAATTTTATTAAATTTATTCATATTATTATCTTTTAAGTCTTTATACTTGACAGATTTATTAAAGTTTAATATATAAATTAGTAAAGTTAAGAGTTAAACAGATCCTATTGTCTTAACTGTATTAGTAATTTTAAATAAAAACTTAAGAACATAACCAATTAAAAAATTCTATAATGATAATATTATTAACATTAATCAATCTATATTTACAAAAGAAATAATTAATCAGGTAAATCTATAATTTCACAGGTTTTAGATAAATATTAAAATCTATTATCTGAAATTGGTCTTAAAGTTATAAGAGAAGAGAAGTTTAAAATTGAAAAATTTTTTATAATAAATTGCAAAAGATAATTAAATTATCTTTTTTAACAACTTTGTTAGTTTTGTCAAATGCAAATTTAAATATTAATAATTTGTTTAATAATAATAATTTTAATAATATTACTAATAATAAATAAGTAATATATTTTAACTATTTAATTTTTTTATTACAGCTAATTTCAAAAGTTACGAAATATATAAATTTTAGTTTATTAGCATTATCAGATTATTCGAAAATATTGAAAATATCAATGCTAATTAAATGATTAAAAATTTTTTAGTGATAATCAAATTATAGTATTAGCATAAAAATTGCTATAAATATTTTTTTCTATAAGAACTATGTATAGTCGACTTTGAATATAATGAATCTGCTTATATTAAAATTTTATTATACTAAACTATGTATTACAGAACTGATTTTTTTATAATTAATTATGCTAGTTATAATGAATTTATATAATAAAACATTATATACTGCATCTGAATTAATCTTAATTGATTATATATATTAAGTTATATATTTGATAAATTGATCACGTGATTTAAAATTTAGCATATGAGATTGTGTAATTGAAAAATGTTACACTATATGTATAAGTTATATAAATGTAAATAATCAATTTTGCTAATGTGATAATCTTTTTATATAAAACAAATGTTAATTTTATATAGCAATACTGACCTTTAATATTATAAATTGATATATTTTATTGTTACAAAATAATCACGTGTCTGTACTTTTATTGATCAATTTTATATACTGAACAATTCAGTATAAAATATGATTATCATATGGGTTGATTGCTAGGAAAATCAGGTTCCGGGAATTTTTTAGCAAAATTGAGATTTTTATTGCATTTTAGTTTTTGATGTTATTAGATTAAAATGTATTAAGCTCTTTATTTTAGTCAAAAATTTCTCGGAACCTGATTTTCCTAGAAACACTCCCATATAGCAAACTCACTTTATACTGAACTTAATTTCTGGGAATGGCGGGTTTATTATATCTAAAGTCGACTGTATTTTAAAACTTCTTTAAGCGAACATAAACAATCTTTACTATAAGATTTTTCTTATAGTAAACAAATCAGGCAAATTAGACATGCATTTAAATGAAAGTTAATGAAAGTTTAATAAACTATTCATTGTTAAAGTTAAATAACATGAATAAAAAAAATTGAATACACATTTATTTATATTTGATTGGTGCTAACTGATTTATAAATTTGATTGGCGCTGAGAATTTTCTAATCATTTGATTGGCACCAACATTTCTGACAATCTGACAGTGCCGATAAACTAAAATTTACATGTTTCACAACTTTTGAAATTAGCTGTCTTGATCGTGAAATACGCTTTAATAAAATTTTAAAAAAGCAGTTGCTAGTGACAAAACAAATGATAAAATAATTAACTACAGTAATATGGAGTGTGCTAAATATAATAATGATTCAGGTGAATGGTGAAATGAATGAAAAATATCTTCCTATAACTGCTACATCTGTTCAAGTAAACGCTTATTTTCAGATATAGGAAATCATATTTCAATCTGACGTACATTCCATGATCCAAATTTACTTCATCGCATGATTTTTTCAAAACAAAATATGAAAGTTTTGGATATATTCTCTCCAGAAGAAAGCTGATGAAGTGATTAGCAAAATATAATAGTTGGATAATTAGTCATAATTGCTCCCGATAAACAATTTTGTACAATAACAAAAAAAAAGATTTATTTTGTCACATAAAAAATTAAAAATTATTTATATATTTTGTATATTTTTTTTAAATAAAAGAAAGTATTAATGATTACATATTTTAAAAAAGAAAATTATTCGTTTCGGACTCATAACGGTTTCCGTTTCCTAGTTATAAAATTGCTATAGAAACTTAGTAAATAAAAAGAATTCTTACAAAATGAATTTGATCACATCCTTAACATTATTTAGTTATTTCTTCGTCGCAGTAATCGCCCAAGTTCCTATATACACTTTTCCAGTTAAAACTTACAATTATTATGTTAGTGGTGGGAATGGAGTTCAACTTTTGTAGAAGAAAAGGGGAATCCTGAGAAGACTACAATAATATTCACAAATGAGTATATGGAAACGCGTCTTAGTTGGGAACCACAATGGACTGATTCATACCTCAACAAGAAATTTCATCTCGTTAGGTGGGATTGCCGAGGGCGGTAAACCAAACGGATCTCTCAAATTACATGGTGATGACCTTGCAGCTGTAGTAGCTAAAGTTAAACCGAATAAATCGAACAAGAAGATCGTCTTGGTTGGCTGGTCTTATGGGTCACCAATTTCTTTTACATTTATGCAAAATTGACCTGATATTGAAATACATGGATTTATTTCGGTTGCGAATCATTAATTTAATTTTGAAACAACAAAAGAATTCACAGATATTACAACTACATTGAACAGTTTCGATGGTTTCTCAACTATAGTTGACGCATATACAAAATTTACTGACTATCGCTCCGCTAAACCTCTTTCTGATGAACTCTCATCTTTTATGCTCGGCCAAACTGTTCTCGTTTCTAACGAATATCGCAAAAATAGTGTAATTGGTAAAGTTCAACATTTTAATCATATGTTGGATAATGTTTAGTATCATATGAACTCGAAATAATTAAGGAAAACACAAATAAAAAATAATTTTTTTTTTCTCTTAGATTTAAGTAATTTCTTTAGTAAACCTAAACATTCCAACCTTAAAGCACAAGATCGTATTATACCGTTGAACGATAGTTGTTACGCAAGTCTCTCTAAATATAGAGGAAAAATTGTTTACGATTGTAGACACTCCACGGCGTGGGAAGTTGCAAAGACGTTTAATTGGGACATCTCGAAATTCGTGTCCAAAGAATAGAATATATACGATTTGAAAAAAAATTCTCTGTGAATATAATTGTCATTAAAAATATATATAATTAAATTTTAAAGATTTTATCAAATGCACGTTGATTTAAAAAGATTTATTTTAAAAAGAAGTCGATTTCCCGAATAATAGATGTTGTGAAACTCATGATTAAAAAAAAATCACATATACGCACTGTTGATTATGGTTGGTTTGATTTTTCAATAATAAAATAAGCTGATTATATAATGAAATGATTGATTCATTGTCCTAAAATATGCGAGATTTAATCTACCCCTAAAAGGAAGATTTTCTTTCCATGTAATAATGTATAACAACGCAACGCAACGCAACGTTACAAATAAACAAAATGACAGGTAAAAAAAAGAAATTTTTTAGTTTTGAATGATATAATAATTTTCAGATTATTGGGCGTATACAAATAAGTTTTTGGAATGTACTGTAAACCTTCACGCAGTTTTTGAATTCTCCACATCTATTATAAATATGCTATGAAAATTAGTAAAAAAAGATAAAATAAAAATAAAAAAAATAAAAAGAAAGAAAAAGAAAGAAAAAAGAAAGTCATACAAAATGAATTTGATCACAATCTTAACGTTACTTAGTTATTTCTTCGCCGCAGTAATCGCCCAAGTTC